CTTTGAGGAGCTCCTCAATCCCACCAATGCGCATTCCGAGGAGGAACCAGAGCTGGGAGGCCTGGGGATGGACTGTCCGATCTCGGGGGCAGAAGTTGCTGAGGTAGTCAAACAACTACACAGCGGCGGAGCCCCAGGGGCGGATGAGGTTCGTCCTGGGTATCTCAAGGCTATGGATGTTGTAGGGCTGTCATGGTTGACACGTCTCTACAACATTGCGTGGTCATCGGGGGCAGTTCCTAGGGAGTGGCAGACCGGGGTGGTGGTCCCCATCTTTAAGAAGGGTGACCTGAGGGTGTGTTCCAACTATAGGGGGATCACACTCCTCAGCCTCCCTGGAAAGGTCTACGCCAAGGTACTGGAGAGGAGGGTCCGATCGATAGTTGAATCTCAGATAGAGGAGGAGCAATGTGGTTTTCGTCCTGGCCGTGGAACTGTGGACCAGCTCTATACCCTTGCAAGGGTGATGGAGGGGGCATGGGAGTTTGCCCAACCAATCCACATGTGCTTTGTGGATTTGGAGAAGGCTTATGACCGTGTCCCCAGGGGCACCCTGTGGGGGTTGCTCCAGGAGTATGGGGTGGGTGGCTTTCTGTTAAGGGCCATTCAGTCCCTTTACCAGAGGAGCGTGAGTTTGGTCCGCATAGCCGGTAGTAAGTCGGACCTGTTCCCAGTGAGGGTTGGACTCCGCCAGTGCTGCCCTTTGTCACCGGTTCTGTTCATCACTTTTATGGACAGAATTTCTAGACGCAGCCGTGGTGTGGAGTGTGTCGAGTTTGGTGGCAGGAGAATCTCGTCTCTGCTGTTTGCGGATGATGTGGTCCTCCTAGCTTCATCCAGCTCTGACCTTCAGCTCTTGATGGGTAGGTTCGCGGCCGAATGTGAAGCGGCTGGGATGAGGATCAGCACCTCCAAATCTGAGACCATGGTTCTCGACAGGAAAAGGGTGGCTTGCCACCTCCGGGTCGGGGGAGAGGTCCTACCTCAAGTGGAGGAGTTTAAGTATCTCGGGGTCTTGTTCACGAGTGAGGGTAGGAGGGATCGGGAGATCGACAGGCGGATTGGTTCGGCGTCTGCAGTGATGCGGACGCTGAGCCGATCTGTCGTGGGGAAGAGGGAGCTTAGCCAGAAAGCCAGGCTCTCGATTTACCGGTCGATCTACGTCCCAATCCTCACCTATGGTCATGAGCTTTGGGTAATGACCGAAAGAACGAGATCGCGGATACAAGCGGCCGAAATGAGTTTCCTCCGTAGGGTGGCCGGGCTCAGCCTTAGAGATAGGGTGAGGAGCTCGGACATTCGGGAGGGACTCGGAGTAGAACCGCTGCTCCTCCGGATCGAAAGGAGCCAGTTGAGGTGGTTTGGGCATCTGGTCAGGATGCCTCCTGGACGCCTCCCCGGGGAGGTGTTTCGGGCATGTCCTGCCGGCAGAAGGCCCCCGGGTCGACCCAGGACACGTTGGAGAGGTTACATCTCCAATCTGGTCCGGGAACGCCTTGGGGTCCTGCCGGAGGAGCTGGTGGACAAGGCCGGGGAGAGGACGGCCTGGAGCTCCCTAATTGGGATGCTGCCCCCGCGACCTGGACCCGGATAAGCGGAGGAAGACGAAGACGACGAAGACGAATAACATTAAAACAAGAGACTAAATTACAGGCATGACGTGTCCACAAATACACACCAGTGCCATTATCAGTTAACAATAATATGTAATGCATCTTTCCAACAGAGAAACATTTGAATGTAATCATACATGTTAGAGGTTTTGGAAAGAGGAACGTGATAAAAATGTTTTGCTGTTTATTCATCTGAAGAATAAACAAGGTGCTCCCTGACTATGATCATCATAACATCCATGACTTTACAGCCTACTACCTATTCAGCATAAATCCCTCCATCACTCAGTAAATATCCTCTCATCAGGATCTGCTGGTAATGTCTGTCAGGCTAAAACAGTTGATGATGATCCACCGCATCTAGAGGCAGGTGTGGTTCTGCAGACTGCAGCACTCTGGATGGGGTTAGGTCCGAGCTGCTTCTGGTGCAGACCTGCCAACCTTGTCAAAAATGTTTGAGTACCACTTGTGCTGCGTTTTGTCCCAGACTTTTTGCAACTCCATTTCCACACTGTAATTTATATACATACATTTATATATATATACATATATATAAATGTATGTTTATATATATATATATATATATATATATATATATATATATATATATGTGTGTGTGTGTGTGTGTGTGTGTGTGTGTGTGTGTGTGTGTGTGTGTGTGTGTGTGTATACCTCTCCCTGGGCTGCCACCTTACCGTGGTGGAGGGGTTTGAGTGTCTCAGTGATCCTAGGAGCTAAGTTGTCTGAGGCTTTCTGCCTCTGGTAGGGAAGCTTTAAAATTTATTTTACTTTGAAAAACCAGTTCTGCCCGTTTTATCCCGTGTGCAAAGAGGCCGACTTCTGTGCTCTCACGAGTAAAACAAAACCACAGAGAGAGAAAAGGTAGAAGATAGGTACCTTAGGAAGAAGGCATTTTTAGTTCAGACCTGTGAAAAAAGCTTAATGTTAACGCACGCTGCCACATTTGAACAGTGATGTGTTAATATGGTTTGTCATTAATGTGTACTTCCAGATCGTTCCGAACAGCATATAGCTTAATATCGGGTAATTTTTCCATTGAGACTCATTTCTGGTTGCATTTTCAGATGACTATATTAAAATATTTTCAAAAGAAGAAGGAGGAACCCGAGGATGATGTTGAGGTAACGTTAGATGAAGATGCTCATTGTTTATTGTGTCGCAGTTCCCTCAAGTTCTGAGTGATAGTGATCTGTACCGTGATACGTGTAATATTCCCAATGTTCCTATTGGTGACTGAAACAAATCTAACATGCCGCTAATAATTTTAGACAAGTACACAGGCTGAAGTGGAGGAGGTGAGTGAAGGAGACAAGTGGAGGGACAGAGCAAGGAGCAGCGTGATGAGGGAGAGAGCAGCAGGGCAACGTGAGGGGAAAAAAGTTAACACAGAGAATCTGGCTGGGACACAAACTGGACAGAAATTACTAAGCTCCGCCCATGGCTGTACCAGAACCATCAAGGTGGGAATAAATCATTACAATTTATTTCAAGTTAAATATATTTTTTGTATTTTTCATTTAATTTTAACAATAAGCTGTTTTACACTCTCCTGCAGGAATGGTAACCAAAAAACACACAGTCTCATGTCTCAGAACGACCGTCTCCGTGTGTCTCTGACTTTAAACAAACATAAATAGATCTAAAAAATATTACTGGTACTTTTACTGTCATTCTGTTGTGGAAAACATTCAATGAAAACTCAGAAAAGATGCTTAAACCTGCATTTCTTTTTTTTATTATTGTGGGCCTATCTATATTATTAAAATTATCAGAGTCAATACAGAAGGCCCAATGAGCCTGAGTTATGTTGTGGTAACGTGAGAGGAACTGTGAAATAGTAAAGCTTTTACTGTATGCTTCTTCATGTTGAATTCAAACAAAATATATACAAGAAGTATATGATGATAATAAGAATGATAATTGTAAGTATATGTAACAGTGATGTTAGGGCTGAAAGGCAGATTATACGTTTTGTTTATTTTTTCTCATTACATTGGAACTTCACGTTGTCCCACATAGAGTAGTCTCTGTCCCACATTAGGCAAGCTGGGATCTGGTCACCCTGTTTGCATGTTTGACCCCGACGTAGCTGCACCGTTACAGCTTCCTAATGCACAAAATGAGCATTTTCGGGAGGGGTGGGACAGCACGCTGGGGGGACTGTGGATGGCTGATGTTTATTAGAAGACAGGCAGATGGTTTTTCAGAAATCTTGGAGATTTCGACTAATAAAGGACAAGAAAAACTGCCAGTACTCATTGTACCCTGGGAAAAGTCCCGGCACTAAAGAACTGGACGTCACAAAAGATTGGGTGTGAATGGGTGAATGACTGATTGTGTTGTAAAGTGCCTTGGGGGGTTATGAGACTTTAGAAAGCACTATATCAAATACAGGCCATTTACCATTTTACCCAAGGATTTAATCACCGGAGGGAGGGCCATCAAAAGCAGAGGGGGGGGGGAATCCCCCCCCATGGCTCACCCTGGGGATGTGTATGACTAGCTCTGGAGGAGAAAATGTAAATTTCTTGTATTTATAAATATAATTTGTCATGTTTTGACACTTGAAAATAAAAAGAGCCAAAACTGGAAAAACTAATAAACCGACCACATTAAAACTCCTAAAGTTTTGTGGTTTTATCAAAATGACATATATTATGAGAGTGGAATGGTTCTGGAATCAGATGATGAAGCACCAGATTTCCTTCTGGTTGTGCAGGTTTTCAGCTCGTTCTCCAGAACCTCCTCCAGACCACATTCAGCCTGAAGATTCTGCAGAAGGATGAAAACCAGACTGAAGCTCCAGAAGAGGTCCTGCGGCTTGTTTACGGCCTTTCCAGGCCTGAGCAGGGTGACAGACTGTGTATCGGTCAGAACCATCTGATGTGCACATTCCTGCTCCCTGACACAACGGAGATGACATCATCCGACCACCTCTCTGCTCTGAGGTGACACGGGCAACCAGAGTGAAGCTGGGATTACGTCAGCAGCTCCACTTGAGTCATTATGTAAAACAAAAACTTCACTTTCTCCAAAAGGAGAGAAAACAACTGGCTCTCTGCCAGAACTCAACCAAATGCAGCAAATAATCCAGTCCAAACAGCAAGATCTGAGCTCAGATGGAGGAGTCTTCTGTCCTCCACAGGCTCGTGTAATTATGTGTTGCATTTTGGGTTTCTGTGGATCAAATCAGCAGGAAAAAAAACGTGAGGAAGATAACCCAGAAACAAAATTATAAACGATGGGGCTCACATTCTAATCACGGGGCTGCTGGTTGGAAAACAAGAACTTTCATTATTTTATGAAGCTTTTTTATTTCTAACTGGTGCTTTCTGCCCATCAGATCAGCAGGATTCATTTACTCACAGCTGGAGGGGAGCTGTTGTGGATGGGTGGAAGTCTCGCTCGCTCCCTCTCAACTCCTGACAGAGCAGAATGTTCTCCATCCATCCTCCCGGTGAAAGAGTGGAAAACTTGTTCTTTTTTTCTTTCTGAGGACTCACTCGTCCACCTCCTCCGTGCTCCTGCTGCTCATGTTCTCACAGCTGCTGCCAGACTTCCTGCTTCACTTTTAGAGATCAATCACGGAGATTCACATCCTTAAAGTAACGGACTGAACTCTGCCTTCGTCGTCGGACAGGTGGGTTCTCCGTTACGCACACTTCGTGACGCACAAACGTCTCCAAAAGCTGCGCGTTAAAGTCTTCTTCGGACGCGTGCGGAGAGTGCGGAGTTGCGCTGGTTCCAGGAGTTTACGCGCTTCTTCTGCGCTTCTTTCTCTGCTTCTCTGCGTAGTCTGATGGGGAGGCAGCGCTGCTACGGGCCGGCGCCATGTTTGGAAGGAGAACTGGAGGAGAAGGAGGAGGAGGAGGCGCCTGGAAAATAAAGCGTCACACTCGAACGCGCACACGCACGTTAGAACAAGGAAGATGTCAGACAGGTCAATACGGAAAAAAAATACAACATCTGGATGGAACTGAAGGTCCTTCAATTTTGTGTTGGACGATAAATTATTAAAGCTCATAAAATTACCAACATCCCATAATGATAATAAACAATAAATCGGTACAGGTGATGATTATAAAGCACCAACTTTATTACTATACAGTTATTCACAGTTAGCTCCCCCTAAAAATAGAGCACAGACATCCTCACATCATTTTTCTGAAAAATCAATCTTATTATTGAATATTTTAACATAAATTAAAACATTAATATCTGTAGATATGGAAGCTTAACAGGCAGTGGCCTACCAAAATTAAAGCAGGGTGAAGGGATCCTTTCTAAAGCTTATTCAGTTGGTGGCGTACAAATCTGGATTTCACCTGCAGCAAATGTGAGGATAGGTATCTTCTTATTTTTCTTGGAGTAAATAAACCCTGAGGCGTTGTTTCACCATGGGAGACAGAAAGTAGGGAGTAATGGCAGCTTTATTTGCTCGGCTCAATTTATACACAGAGGCAACTTCTTGTAGGCCCTACATCACGCTTCAGTCTAGGATCTGGGGGAGAGAGAGAGAGAGAGAGAGAGAGAGAGAGAGAGAGAGAGAGAGAGAGAGAGAGAGAGAGAGAGAGAGAGAGAGAGAGAGAGAGAGAGAGAGAGAGAGAGAGAGAGATAGAGAGAGAGAGAGAGAGAGAGAGAGAGAGAGAGAGAGAGAGAGAGAGAGAGAGAGAGAGAGAGAGAGAGAGAGAGAGAGAGAGAGAGAGAGAGAGAGACTGTGTGTGACTGAGCTTTTAGTTCGGGTGAGTTTAGGTTAGGGTTAGGCACAGTGGAGTCATTAAAATTAATGAGAGTCAATGGATGTCCACACATACATATTGCTGGGTTTCACATGATGTTGCATCTACGTCACAAAATGCAGATGGGGGTCCGGAAGTAGACAGTGCTGCACAAAACCCCATTTACTTTGGTGACTGGACATTAAAATGCTGAAATTCTATGCGATCTAAGGTTATTAGCCACCAATCTCTTATCAAGACAAAGACAAGTCCCAAATGTAGCAAAGGGACATAGGACTTAATTTTAAAAAATGTACTGAAAGAAGACAGCAGATGTGGATCAATAACCTATGGCTTAAAACAGGAGCTTAAACAGACAGTGCTGGAGTTTGCAGCAATCGCTTTCTAACAGGTATGAGGTGATTGAGTGTTTTATGCTGCTTAGAAACAGCCATAAAAACATCAGGTTAACAGTTTTATATTGTTTTCACGTGTCCTCACTGCAAATAGCTGTCAGAGTGCTAATGTTTTTAGCAGTTAGCTTATTGTTGTAACATGGCGTTTATACCGTATTAAAATCAAACAAACAGAAATTTGTATTTAAAAGGCATAAAAGTTAGGTACAAGTAGACACACTGATTGTTAGCATTAGCAATAGCATTATCATCATGAGTAGTTAATGTAAAAATAGCACAACTCACTACTTACCTGAGCAAAAACAAGATGATCATAATTTAAAGCTTCTCCGGATCACCAAAAGGTTAACCAACCTAGGCTTCCAGGCTTGTAAAAGACTTTCGTTTGATTTGCAGTGTAATATGAGGCATACCAACACATTCTCAATCCAGCGCATCAAAAACAAACACTTGGTCAGCCACCCTCCGCGTCAGACCCCTGACTCCAAAAGTGCCCTTTTTCGTCACTTATGTGCGAAAAGGGTTTTTTCCCTTTTCTGACAGCAGATCCCAATGCAGCGTAAAGCTTGGTTTACGCTTGATGCATTTACTTAACGCTTGGTGATGCGGCTTGTTCATGCGGCTTGTCTCTGCGCTGAGCCAATATTCTCCTAAACTGTAGGGGGCAGCATGGAGCTCTACGGCATGCATCCAACACTACACCATAGTAGAAGTAGAAATTACTGTTGTTTATAACAGTTGTTAATGAAAGTTGAGAGCCAACTCAGCTCTTTTAGAATTGGTGGAGTGTTCTTGTTTAAACCAGGATCACCACTTGCTCCCCTTCCTTGCCTTCACATATCGGTCCCTCATGTTTTTCCAGCATTTTTTAACAGTGTCCTCGTCTTTTCCGACAGTGAAAGCTATTTCTCTCCAAGAATTATTAACAAGATGTTGATCACAGTGATCTTTGAGAGCTGAGTCATACAAATGTCTGTATTTACGAACTCTGCCATAACTAGTTCTTGCCAGTCCGCCATGTTTTTCCATGTTTGAACGTCCGCGTGGTTAGAAAATTTCCTAGGTGCGCGGTGCGAAAATTTTGGGCCATGCGGAGGCCAGGTGGAGGGGTGTGGTTGTTAAAATGATGCAATTTTGCCGCGCGGAGCTGTGCGAACCTCGCGGACGCGTCAAGCATTAACCAACCTTAAAACTGACGTGATGGGATACCCGCTACTGTTGCACCCCCAATGCAGCGTAAAACTGACGCAACGGGATGTCCGCAGCCAGGGCACCAAACAAGCTCATTGTACCTCACCCTAACCTTATCCTCTTGTTATTTAACCTTCCCCTCACCCCTATCCTAACCTTAACCATCTTGCTAGCTAACACGTTAGTGATGTGTCGGTGGCTCTAAAAGCCGGCTCTATGAAGTGAGCAGCGGGATCCGCCTCGTCATTGGTCGGGTTTGGACCGAGGCAAGGAGAGGGGGAGGTTTCAACTACCAAGGTGGAGGTTAAAGGTAGAAGGTATTTGTAACCTCCCCCTCGCCAGATGTATGTTCTATCGTTCCCCTTGGGTGGCAGATACGAAAATTCAGTCAGAATGCAGTGAGAGTAACATTTTAGGTAGCAAGAGGGTTACGGTTAGGATGAGGGTGAGGGGAAGGTTATAAATAGCAAACCGTTACGGTTTAGGTGCAGTTAAATGAGCTGGTTCGGCGCTGCATCAGCGGACATCCCACCGTGTCAGTTTTACGCTGCATTGGGATCTGCAGTCAGAAAAGATAAAAACTCCTTTTCGCACTTAAGTGACGAAAAAGGGCCCTTTTGGAGTCAGGGGTCTGACGCGGAGGGTGGCTGATCAAGCGTTTGTTTTTGACGTGCTGGGAGTGAGAATATGTTGGGCATACAGCAAGAACTTGCTTTGCCGATCGCTTCAGCGCTGTCAGACTGCTAATGTTTGTAGCAGTTAGCTTAGTGTTGTAACGTGGCATTTATACCTTTGAATTAAAATCAAACAAACATACCAGAAATTTAGATTTAAAAATGCATAAAAAGTTAGTTACAAGTAGGTCCCAGCACATACTGATCGTTAGCGTTAGCGATAGCATTAATATCATGAGTAATGTACCTGGGCAAAAACAAGACAATCATCATTTAAAGTTTCTCCGGATCACTAAAAGGTTAACCAACCTGAAAAAAAGTAGATGTTAGCTTCCAGGCTTGTGAATGCTTTAGTTTGGTTTGCAGTGTAATATGAGGGAGGCAGCACAAGGTAGTTTGTTGTCGATCGCTTCAGCGCTGGTTAAATCCTTCAGTGTATGAAGATATCGCGTCTGTGCTAGCTCATTTAAAGCCATTGTAAACTCCTTTTGATCCATCGCGCTGTGTTGTATGTCTGTGTTTCGTTGCAGAGCGAAACAATTCCTGTCCCTCATTTGAATTTTGCGCGGCTGCAGACGTCACATGAGTGAACCCCAACTATACACATACATACGTGTGTGCGGGTGTGTGTGTGTGTGTGTATTTGTACAGCTACCCTACCTAAGACCAGAAATGGCATATTCACTAATCTTCGAAAGACCGTTGGTCCGTGTTTGGACCAAAACCCGGTTCTAACACGGTGCACTCCCTCTTTTGGGCATAGGAGTGAGGTTTATACATAAGATGTGAATTGAGTTATTGTTACTTAAGTTTAGAAACACACTGGTTAGGGTTTAGGTTAGGTATAAGTGCAGTTACTAAAATGAATGGAAGTCAATACAAAGTCCTAATAAGGATAGAAATACAAGATTGTGTGTGTGTGTGTGTGTGTGTGTGTGTGTGTGTGTGTGTGTGTGGGTGTGTGTGTGTGTGTGTGTGTGTGTGTGTGTGTGTGTGTGTGTGTGTGTGTGTGTGTGTGTGTGTGTGTGTGTGTGCCTAACCCTAAAAAGTTCATCATGTCCCCCTGAAGATAACCTCTGCTTCTCTTCTCCAGCTGGATGTTAAAGCTGAAGTTTCAACATAATCATCTCTGATTTAGATTTCACCAGAATAAAGTAAAACGTATTGAAGTTAAACAAAAAATCTAAACCAGCGTTACCTTTATTCGACTTGAATTGATTTTCCCATCTGAAGGTGTTAAAAGCAGCAGCTGTGAGCCGGTTCTGTCCGGCTGGGTGTGTTTTGGAGCTGAAGCTGGGTTCAGCAGGAGAAAACTGGTGTTGTTGGAATCCAGATGTGTTTTGCATCAGTTCAGAGGTTTTTACAGCTTCTGGGTCTCAAACATTGTCTCTGGTCTCACTGCAGTTTCTGACACTTTGTGTAAAAACACCAGAACAGTTCTACCAGAACCAAGAGGTTATGATTTAAATCTTCTTGTTTTTTTGGCTCCTTGGACGATGGAGGGACTGTTGCATTACAGGAGAGTTATGTAACAGCAGATGTGGCTGAATGGTGACTATTGAGCCAGATTTAGTTTTCACCTTTAACCTCCATAAAGTTCTCTTTCAGACTCAGAAAACAAACACCCTCTGTTCTAATGAACCCACATTCCAGGGAAATTGGCACAATATTTTTTAAAAATGTCACAATAGTTTAAATGTTCTTTTTAATGTTTATTTAGCAATCAAAGTTCTGCATTAAGATAAGTGTGATGGTTGGAATAATCCCTGGTTCAGATCACCTGTTTATATTTGTAATCTGAAGATTATATACAAATCAACTAATATTGACACAACAGCTATATCTATCCAAATGTGGATATTT